ATGACAAAATTGATCAATAAGAATTACTTGTATGAAAAAGACCGCCTTCTTAAGCATGACAAACAAGAGATACTCCAGATGATGGATGAGGCAAAATCTAATCATGAGTTGTGTATTATGAAACTCAAACAATATCGGATTCTACAATGTGAACTTGACAAGAATATAAAAGATCTTGTTGTTAAAGAAGAAAGCCTCATTAATCATCTTCAAGAAATTAAGAATCAGTTCAACATCTTTATTCAAAATAAGAAAGAAAAATACTTAAAACGAAACCAAATGCTCTTGCAACAACTTCAACAACAGTGTCAACAACCTCAACAGCAACAACAAATTTATGAAAATCAGACACAGGACCAACAAAGGAAGTTTGATATTAACAAACAAATTTATAACAATGGTAGAAACACTCTTAAAGAAGAATTGGTTATTGTTATAAATATGATTGAAAAAATTAAAGAGCAAGAAAACCTTGTCAAAAAAAAATTGGAATTTTATAATGAACAAATGAAAAATAACAAAAACCATTTTTATGAGTTAAAAAACTCCTTATTAAAATTAGATTCTGAAAGAATTACAAAAGGAATACCAGACTTTATGGATTGGGAATAGATGATTATTTATCTATGTTATAGTTAATTTGTTTGAAATTTTTTAATTTTTTATAGTAATAATATGATATAAATATATAGTTTCTTGCTTCTTGCTTCTTAATTTTAGTAGGTAACGATATGTACATATTGTTACCTACTTATGGTATGCTGTTACCTACTTATAGGCCTACTTATGAAAATTGGACACATGCGAACTGCCATCAGGATAGCAACATGGCCAATTTTTGTCATCAGGCCACATGCTAATTATTAACCACATATCTGAGATATTTATAGTCTAGGAATGTGACCCATTTTTAATTTTTGGCCACATGTGAACATTTCTTTTTGGGAAAGTAAACTCAGTGACCTCTACTTGTAGACCAAAAAAAAACATACATCAATTTTGCTTTTTATGTCCCATTAAGACTTGAGGAGGAGGCATGTAGTGCTGAAATAGTATTTGTGATCTGGTTTTGGATGATGCGTTGATTGGGTAGTCTAATAAATTGCTACAAAAACATAATTATGGGTGACAAAATTAATTAACAAATAACAACAAATTAATTATTAGAAATATCATAATACAGAATAAATGCTATTTGAAATCAAAGAAATTGTTGACACCACTAGTTAACCAACATCAAAACCTTTGCTTATACCAAAAGAAAATAAACAAAACCACAGATCTCTATACCACTCCGATAACCAAATGGACAATTAAACCCTACTGTTTAATTTCCAACTACAAAAGCGTTTTTACAAGCAAGACAAAGAATTTATTTATTTATTGTTATGGTTTAACAAAAATATTAAATATGAAATTTATGGATTTTACATCACCCATAATTAATTTCTTTTTCTCTATGTATAATGAATAATTTCGTCACTCATGGTTAATGTAATTAATTTCGTATTAGTCTTATTATTACTACAGTACAATAATAACAACAGATTATAATTAAATTTGTATTTCAATGGATTTTAAACAAAATTTTCTTATATGTCCTGCCACTCCATTGAATGAAGGTAGTTACTATTACATATTACGTTTTTGGCAAAACAATTACCATTCCATGTGTACTCTTGAGATGTCCAATAATTACCTTTACACAATAGTACATGAAACTCATGTTATCAAAAAAATCTATA